CGTCTGCTCGAATTTTGGGGACTGTCTGAGCAGTGACGACTGTTCTGAAATGGCTTGAAAGTTGTTCGAATGGCCACGAACAAATCTATAAATTGCCTGTACCGCTGTCGGAAAAATTACACCATTTTCATTGCAATCATTCTCTGCTTTGAATCTCACTCCCCTCTCTCGTCCTGATATTATTTTCAAAGTGAAAAAACACTTCATTGAGTTCGTTGGAACTCCTGCAAATTGTTGTGCTACTTCCGTAGGAGATGAAATTTGTTCTATCCTGGGAAATGATTGCTGAATACCTTTAGCACATGTGAACTCGGTGGGCTCGAATTAATATCGTGATCCTGTTGATCAAACTGATTACGCTGTCCGATTACTTCAAGGTAATTCTATTGTAACTTTGAAGGAGACTTTTGTATTCCAGAATAACAAAGACACCTAAAGTTTTACACAATACTACACTCTTAATAATGTAATCTAACTATAAATTATATGAATATTCCTATGAGGGTTTCAACATTACCTGGATATGAGTATATCATCCTTCACATCATCCATTACTGTAGGCTCATAAAAAGTCTATCCAAGACCATGTCTCTTGCTGCCAATAAGGACCTTAGCTCCCTAAAGCCAAAATGCACCACCAAGTTAAGCCCTAAACCCAAATCATCCTATCAAGTAAAATCAAGAAAAATCTATTCTCAATTGAGTCAATTCTATGTACCAAACTACTATCAAGTTAAGTCCAAATCAGCCTCCATACATTCAAACATATATAATAACATTCAGAAAATAAGTACTTAGAGCAAATTTTGCGTAAAAGTATATAGAGACCCTACCAATTCCTATACAAGAGGCCGAGAGATGAGAGGCTAAAACTTGAGAGACAAGAGGATCGGACGACTCTGCTCAGACGAATGGATGAGGGACCTTCCTTCTTCACCTTCTTTTTGTTGATGTAGGAACCCACAGCCGTAGTCACAGCCAGCGGAGGCCCGAACATTATGAGTGCACACTAGGTAAACCTCGCTCTATGTATAGTAGCCTGCAAACCATACAAGAGAGGTAAACCACAATGGATAAGCTCGGTGCGAAGGGCTCGACCGAGGAAGTGTTGGTAGGGAATTCAAACTTGTGACCTTTGGTCTCCGCGTTTACCTGCTCCAACAACTCAGCCACCCCTGAAGGGACTTCTTCACATTCTTCCTCTGTCGATGGAAGGCATACGAGCAACGCATGCACCAGAGTCGGATACAAAGGTTGAGAGAGTCATAGATTGGATTTGAGAATTTTGTTGTTTAAATTACAGCCTTCAGGATTCAATAATTAGATTTGGGTCAATTTTTTTCACTTTGGGCTGGTTAATTGGAAAGCCAATAGGCCACTACTACTAGTATAAAAAAAAGATAAATAAATAAGTTGAAAGAGATTGGTCCGGGCCCAAAAGTTCAGTGCATGCCTATGCCTGCATTGGTCCTTAATGGGCTCCATCCCTGGTTGAAAATATCTTTAGCAGTGAGATTAATAATACATGTTGAAAAAATCTATAGTTGCAAAGTTAATACTGCCTGTGTTGAAAGCTTTTATGTTGACATGGATCACTCCATTTAGTTTGAAAATCTTTGGAAAATTTTTTCCCCATGTTTTTTGTTAAGGAAATCATGTGTTAGAATAAAGCAAAGTGTAATCCATCGGATGATTATGTTTCTTGGCATGCATATTGTAATAATTTTTATTTTTGACACAATTTATTCTACTATACTTTTGTAATCCGACAACTATAATCCTACAATCTTCTAAATGTAATCTCACAGTTTTCAAGAAATGAAATATCGAGAAATGTTGCGAAGCTTTATAATGTGTTTTACAAGGTTGAGCATAACTTAGTATGACAAGCTAAATTACTTGCAATTATCAAAATTCAAGCTCATGAACTTGAGAAATAAAATGCAAAAATCATAATATTGCACAAGATAGATAAATTTCAACAAACATTGTATGAAAATAACCAAAAAACATTACAAGTAACATTACATGTCAAATTACTTCTCAAGGTTGATCAATCGTTGGAGATTTTTTAAGCCTAAGAAGAGGCCTCAGCAGTCGAATCTGCCTCAACAGGAAGAGAATGAGTAATATTAACAGTTGAATCTGCTACAACATGAGACAGATGATAACATTAGAAGTTGAATGTGCTTCAGCAGAAGGTGGAAGAGTGACATTAGAAGCCAGAGCTATCTCAACAGCAGGAACAAAGCAGATCGCTAAGGATATATCCACCAAATCTAGGAATGACAGATTAGGTTTCACCATCTGTGAAGGTTCGAAAATGGGACTCTCTTTAATCTCATCCTTCCTAGCTTTAAAGAACTCTAAATCCCGCCCTTAATAATATCAATAACCTTGTTTTCTCCTTCCTGCACTGAATCTTTATATAGGGTATCCTCAACAGCCTTTAACTCAGCTATGCATGTTAGGTTTTTTGATACCCAATAAATCCTGGACAATGATGTTAAACAGATGTTGGATAATTTTATATCGACACCTTAGTGATGGCTCGACCTGAAAATAATTTTTTGGTTCTTCTTCTTTGAGGTTCCAATTGCTACTCTATTTCATCTTCTTTTGTGGCTTGAAAACCAATCACCAAGTATATCCTTTGTGGGTGAGTAAACTTATGGCAACCAAGTGTTTAAAGTTGTAGGTTGAGACTCCTCGTTTGATGTGTGTTTTGGTTGATTAAACTGAGCCCGAATCAAGATTTCTCGAAGATTTTCGAGACAAATGGTATCAGAACTTATGTTGTTGAGAAATCTATGGTTTTTGGGATGAAAAAGGAGCTAGAAATCGACCAGAAATGTGGCTGAAAATTGGTAGAAAATAGAGACAGAAACTGTCTAGATTTTGCAAAAATGAACTGAACCTGTTTTTTGCTTTTTTCGATGAAACAACTCATCTTTTGGAGAAACGGCGCTACTGGTAGACTGTGCAGGTGGAAGTGAACTTGGTGGTCCGGTACGTGGTGGTCAGAGGCGGCGCGTGAGGCCTAGATGAGGCGCCAACGATGGCGTATGTAGGCGAGTGTGCCCGATTTCGGCAACGTTGTCTTCGGACAGTTTTTTCAAAACATCGAGACGGACCCTATGAAGAAAACGACAATGTATTTTAAGATTTCTGTTTCAGGCGATATGATGAAAATTTGACAATTTTACCCTTCGACATTCGGGTGTTGGGTATCGTTTTGTGTTGTTGCGGTTGTCTAAGCTTTGGGATGAATAATGATAGCCCTGAAGCGATGAATTCGCATCTCTCGATATTTACGGACCTTCAGACGTGGTCCGCTCGGTATCCTGTCCTTTCCCTTTTATTATTGCAGTTATGATTATTGTGTCGGATAACGATTTACTTTTCGCATTAAAAGCCATCGTGTGGGTGGCATTAGGATTGGGCTACCATTAAAGGGTAATTGTCTATTGCTAGACCTATGAATTACTTGTTTATTATTTGTCTTAAATTCTTCGTGAATTTGTTGTCAATTATTTTTCGTTATTAGAATTGCACGTAATTTTAGGAAAGTTTATTTGACTATTCTATGTGAATTGTGTCTGTACTTATCTTGTGGTCGTTGTTTGGTTGTATTTTGTGTTTTGTGCATTTATTTGGTAAAAATGACAACACGTTTTGAGTTGTGCTGTTTTAATGAAAAAATGTGATTTTTTAATTTGGCAAAACGAAATGGTTTTTCATAAAACTTTTGATGGCAAATGTAGGTCTAAGGCAAGTGTGAAAAGTAAGATGCGTTTTAACTGCGGTAATTTTAGACATACTAAAATAGATTGTCCTATAAATGATAATAAAAAGGAAAGATGAGGTGAGAGATGAGGGGAATGTGGTTATATGGTCAAGTGATGACCCTAGTAATGTTTATTGAGAGTAAACTTAGTTATTGCATGTACATCCACGTGTAATGCTTTCTACATGTGTGTGATTGCTTAATTCTGTTGCATGGTTATATGTTAGAGACCAATCAAGCACGTGAAGGAGAATACACATTCAAGTTAAACAATTATGATTACTAAATTGTTGCTTTTTCCTTAGAATAAAAGCTTGAATATTGCAAGCATAATTTCCAATTTCCTAAGTAGACGTTATTACTTTTTTTACAAGAATCTATTCGGCTATTTAACAGCTTAATGCCATGAATAAAAGTATCAAATTATCATTATCTTCAACCTTGTGTTAATTTGGGAGTTTTATTGGTTTTCTTGAATTAACCAAACACAGGAGGTCTAGGATCCCTCGAAGTGTCCTACCAAACTACCATCATAGGTCGTCAACGCAGAGACGATACTTGGTCATTACCCGTTAAACGACATATCACTAGATCTCAATCGAAGAGGTCTGACAACTTGGTATCAGAGCCAAAAATGTCTGACCACCACTAGGATCAACTAGAGAAGGAGATTAGTTCATTATCTACGTGTCAACACGACTTACAACAAGCCACGAAAGCCAGCGAGGAGCGTCTTTTGTAACATATGGAGACCATGTTCAACCGTCTTGCAGAACGCGGTGTAGGATAGGAAGACGATGCTAGTTCCTCTCGTGACATCTGCCGTAGTCAATCTGGAGGAAGTTCACCTAGGTACAAGATTATCGAACTAGATTTGCCATGCTACGATGGCATGGATGATCACACGGGATGGATTTGCTGAGTAGAGCAATTTTTCGACTTTCAACATATGGAAGAGGCAGAAAAATTACCTATGGCCTGCTACCATTTGGACAGAGATGTTCAATTATGGACAAGCAGTATTTGGGAAGATGGATTTCGATCGCCTATTACATAGGGCAGGCTATCTCACAAAAGAACAACAGGTCGGGTGTTTCATAAGCAGGCTACGGGAAGCAATTCGTGTCGATGTTCAAGCTTGTAAACATGTATCTTTGTCGACAGCAATTGGCCTTGCACGACTCTACAAATCATGCTTGCATGAGCAACGTAGATGAAGCTATGTGGAACCGCGGAAGGCTCCACCCACCATTGGGCCACTACCAATGCCTTTGATATCTCTCACTCGAGCCTGTACCTCGACCATCAAGCGGTTGACTCAATCGAGTTACAAGATAGGCGAAGTCATGGACTTTGGTTGAATTACGATGATAAGTTCTCTCGTGGTCACCGTTGTAAAAGGTTATTTTTCATTGAGGGGATTTTTCCTTCTTATGATGAGCAATTGGAGGATGAAATCGTGAAGGAAGAAGAAGAAGAAGAAGAAGAAGAAGAAGAAGTTCCAGAAATAAGTTTCCATGCTATTTCTGGAAATTCAGGACTAGAAACGATGCGAGTTATTGGCAAGCTTAGGGAATTGGTGGTTTCCATTTTACTTGATACATGTAGTACACATAACTTCCTCAATTCCAAATTGCCTGCTCAATTGGGATTATATCCCAAAAAAGGGGACTTTTCTGTGCAAGTGACAGATGGTTACCGAGTCAAAAGTGGTGGGCTATGCAAAGATGTTCCTATTCTTGTGCAAGGAATTACATTTCACATTGATCTATTCATTTTACCAGTAGAGGGGTGTGATGTGATTTTTGGAACACAGCTATTGAAAAGATTGGGTCTTTTTACTTTGGATCTCAATGAATTTTGGATGAGATTTAATTGGGAGGGCAGAATGGTGGAGTTACGTGGGATGCAAGGACCTAGCAATAAAATAGCAATTGACAAAGAATTAAGGGGACATTTAAGGAAAGGCAAGGAAAGCTTTTTTGTTGCAACTACACTCTTTGAATTTGGGAGCAGCAACTAAAACTACGGATGGGAATCCAAATTCAGATTTTCGGGCCATTATGAACTAATATGCTACAATCTTCCAAGAAGCCCAATGCTTGCCACCTCAGCGGTCTCAAGACCACAAAATTCCATTAATACAGGGTGCCAATTCAATTTCAGTCAAGCCTCATCAGTATCCCCATTACCAAAAGAATGAAATTGAAAAAAATGGTGAAAGGACTCTTATCATCAGGTGTGGTACGACCTAGCACAAGTCCTTATTCTTCTCTTGTACTATTGTTTAAAAAGCATGATAGATCGTAGCAATTTTGTGTGGACTATCGAGCACTCAACAATATCACCGTTAAAGACAAATATCCAATTCCAGTCATTGATGAGTTATTAGATGAGTTGCATGGGGCGCGATTCTTCACTAAGCTCAACTTGAGGTCGGGCTACCACCAAATTCGTATTTATCCCGGTGATATCGAGAAAATGGCCTTTCGCACACATCAAGGCCACTACAAATTTTTGGTCAAGCCTTTCGGCTTGACTAATGCTCTAGCCACTTTTCAAATCGTGATGAATGAGGTATTTAAAGAATTTCTTCGTGAATTTGTCTTGGTATTTTTTGACGATATACTTATTTTTAGCAAAACATGGGAAGAGAATTTAATCTATGTAAGGCAGGTATTCCATATTTTGCAAGCTAATCAATTTTTTGTCAAGCGAGAAAAATGTCAGTTTGGACAAGAAAAGGTTGGCTACTTAGGGCATTTAATTTCGCATGACGAGGTTGCTATGGACCCCGAAAAAATATCTGCTATGATGACTGGCCCAAGCCAACTACATTGAAAGGGTTACATGGATTTTTAGGCCCCACCGGTTATTATCAAAAATTCATTCACAGTTATGGAGTTATTGCCCAACCTTTGACGAATATGCTCAAAAAATATTCGTTCAAATGGATTGCGACTGCGGATCGACCTTTTAAAGAATTGAAAGGCTCTATGACTTCCGGGCCGGTGTTGGCACTTCCGGATTTCTCTCGACCTTTTATTGTGGAATGTGATGCATCCGGCGTAGGCCTAGGGGTGGTGCTTATGCAAGATGATCGACCAATTGCATTCTTTAGCCAAGCATTGCATGGTAAGAATTTGGCATTATCCACATATGATAAGGAAATGCTTGCTTTGGTTAAGGCAGTACAAAAATTGCGCTCTTATCTTTTGGGATCCAAATTTATTGTGTGGACTGACCACAAAAGTTAGTAGTTTTTATGGAGTCAAACCATTACCACGTCTGCCCAACAGAAATGGTTAGTAAAGCTCTTGGGATTTGATTTTCAAATTCACTACAAAAGGAAAGGAGAATTCAGCTGCAGATGCCTTGTCCAGGAAATTTGAAATTCACACGTGCCATATATTCCCTGTTCCTAATTGGGTGGATCCCATTAAATCAGAAATTATGGCTAACCCTCAACTGCAGGATTTGGTAGAGAAAATCAAGGTGATGCATTGGGGCCATGGCTATACAAAGAAGGGTTGATTTTTTTCAAAGACCGAATTTATCTACTCCCCACTTCCGATTTGATTCTCCATATAATCAAGGAATTCCACTTAAGCACTCATGAAGGGCTCCATAAATCTCTCCACATGATTAGATCTATTTTTTATTGGAAAGGCATGAAAGCAGACATAAGGAAATTTATTCAGGAATGCAAAGTTTTCCTAAGAAATAAAGTGGACCAAGCAAAACCCGCCGGTCTACTTAGCCCTCTCCCAATCCCACGACATTTCTGGACAGATATTTCTATGGATTTCGTGGATGGCTTCACAAATTCTCGAGGAAATTCCACCATCTTTGTGGTCGTTGACCGCTTACCCAAATATAGCTATTTCATTCCCATTAAACACCCATACACAGCTACCACCATTGCTCACATATTTTTTCAGCAAGTATTCAAACTCCATGGCATGCCCGAGTCCATTGTATGTGAGCATGATCCGGTGTTCACAAGCTCCTTTTGGAAAAATTTATTTCTTTTGAATGGCATCAAATTCAATTTTAGTTCGGCATACCACCCACAAACGGATGGTCAAACCGAAGTGGTTAACAGGACTTTGGAGATGTACTTGAGGTGTTTCACAAGTTATAAACCCAAGGAATGGACAGTTTGGCTACCATGGGCAGAATATTGCTATAATACCGGGGTACACTCATCCACCAAAAAATCACCATTCGAGATCGTATACGTTCGTGAGCCTCCCAACTTGCTGGCATATGTCCATGGCACCTCGCGCGTTGATTCAATTGAGAAATTCTTGCTGGAAATGGATGTGGTGATTAGAGATGTCAAGGCAAATCTGAAAATTTCTCAAGAAAGGATGAAGAAATATTATGATACGAAGCGCACCGAAAGAAGTTTTGAAGTTGGCGAATATGTGTACCTAAAATTGCGCCCTTACCGTCAACTATCTCTAGCACAGTGAAATAATCTCAAGTTGAGTCCCAAGTTTTTCAGTCTCTTCAAAATTCTCTCCAAGATTGGATCCGTTGCTATAAATTGGAATTACCACCAGAGTCAAAGCTTCATCCAATTTTCCATATTTTTCTCCTTAAAAAGATTATTGGAAATCGGGATATTATCTCCCCTACTCTGCCCGAAATGTCCAGTGAATTTGCACCACACCCACTTCCTCAAGCCATTTTGGAGACACGCACAAAAAGGGGAGAAAAAGAAGTCATGGTTCATTGGCAAAATCTCTCACCTGCTGAGTCAACATGGGAGAATCTCGCAGAATTGAAGACACGTTTTTTCCTTGAAGATAAGGAAATTTTAAAGGAGGATGGAGTTGTTAGGACCAATCAAGCCAATCAAGCACGTGAAGGGGGATTACACATTCAAGTCAGACAATTATGATTACTAAATTGTTGCTTTTTCCTTAGAGTAAAAGCTTGAATATTGCAAGCATAATTTCCAATTTCCTAAGTAGACATTATTACTTTTTTTACAAGAAGCCTATTCACCTATTTAATAGCTTGATGCCATGAATAAAAGTATGGAATTATCATTATCTTGTGTTGATTTGGGAATTTTATTGGTTTTCTTGAATTACCCAAACACATGAGATCTAGGATCCCTCGAAGTGTCTTACCAAACTACCATCATAGGTCGTCAATGCAAAGACGATACTTGGTCATTACCCGTTAAACGACATATCACTAGATCTCAATCGAAGGGGCCTGACATTATATGTGCATTTCGATGTGTTTAATATGTGTATTTGCATAATTTTTTAATAGCAATCTGATTACTTGATGTTACTGTTTGCATGTATAGTGGGTTAAGATGCATTAGCAGTGTGCAGTATGTCTATTGGTGAGATGGAGTATAGATGCCTAGGGGTATATTGGTGGCTTGTGCCAAGGACGTGGAGTGTGACATTTGGATCACGAGTGGAGAGGTGATCAAATGTTGGAAATCCTTAATCTGTGAAGAGACCCTAATCATGTGGAGTGTGTGAGAGATGCACTTTTATAACGTCTGTTAGGTAGAGACACATTATCCACTCGGGTTGTGAGAAGTGATGCAGTGATAGAGGATTATCCCAAGAACTTAAGATCTATTGTGGCTTACCTATTAGACATAGGTTTAGTGATTAGTCTAGTGAGCATGGTGGACAATGAAGTGGGATATGTGTTCTCGAGGTGTGAGTGACACGGAATGGGATATGATAAGTGTGGCGAGATCTTTTCGTGGGGTCATTTTGACATTTGTTGCATATGTGTTGACCATGTGCTTGATTAACTTGGTGTTAATCTGTTGTTCTGTGTAAACGTGTCCTCTTTTAAAAAAATATATGTGTCATTCTATATGATATCTCCATTACATGTTTATTTACTCTCGATTGATTACTGTAATTATCTGCTTTTACTTGGGTGTTCTTGAAGCCCTGGTGAATATATGAAGCAAGTATGGTATGTGTTTTGGGTCCGAAACACGAGGTAAGGTCTGTGATTCCAATTTTATTGGTTACTTTGATTATGCAAGTGTAAAATGTGTGTTTTGGTTACTTCCAGGTTGATTGAGTATCAAGGTGGAGATTTGTTGAATTTCTTGATACCCAATAAATTCTGGACAATGATGTTAAACTGATGTTAGATAATTTTATATCGACACCTTAGTGATGGCCCGACCCGAAAATAACTTGGGACCACTAGAAGCAACTTAATTGAGTTAACGTTGCTTGTGGTCTAACACTCGTAGATTGCCTAAGTTGTGGTTATTAGTTGGATGGTGATATATAGTGGCCCATTTAGTGAAGTTTGGCCCAATTAGAGTGACCTAACTATTGTTATATATATCCATCTCCTTTCAGCCATGTGGGTGTGTGTTGGTTTGTGAGAAAGAGAGAAAAACGTGAGGTTTGGCCGGTTTTGGTTCTTCTTCCTTGAGATTCCAATTGCTACTCTATTTCCTCTTCCTTTGTGGCTTGCAAACCAATGACCAAGTGTATCCTTTGTGGGTGAGTAAACTTGTAGCAATCAAGTGTTTAAATTTGTGGGTTGAGCCTCCTCGGTTGGTGTGTGTTTTGGTTGAATAAACTGAGTCCGAATCAAGATTTCTCGAAGATTTCCGCGACAATGACAATTTTCATTTCATAATTCTCTACTTAATTTTGAATTAGATACAAGCTCGCTCTTTGCTCCTTCGAGGTCTTTTATAGCAGTATATTATTCAACTTTCGTCATTTGAATCTCTTTCTACAACTGTTTAATCTCGAGATCAGCCTTCACAACAAAAGCAATGTTATTCTCCTTAGTTTGCTCCAAATTTTTAGAGATCTTCCAGATGTCAGCCAAAAGCTTAGCCTCATTGACAGTAAGATATTCAACGTTCTTGGCCAAGTCCTTATACTCTACTTTCGCTTTCCCACCCTTTTCTGAAGCTCCGCACATCATTTTTCCAAAGGATCCTCCTTTTTCATTAAGGAAGCGACTCGCTTAACAAAAATCTCATACTCCGTTTGTTGG